TACAGAAAGTGATTATTAATATGCCATATCAAGGAGATTTTAGCAAACACTAGTGGGTAATAAACACTGGTGTTTGCAATCCTTTTCTTAAGATGCGCTAATACAAGATATGTATGATTATAATGTAAGAAATGAATGATTGATTAAGGCCTTAGAAATAATGGTGGAAAGTTGTCCAGAGTTCAAACAAATTTAATTCTAGTTAAATGTGATCATGGAGCTAGCTGTTTCAAATAACACAGCAGACTTTAAACCCGCACAATTGTCCATGATTCACAGAGTAACCAGACACAGTTAACACAGATAAATCCTGAACCTCTGAACTGTTTTCATCTTTATGAAAAACATAGAAAAACAGAGCTAAAGAGCCTTCAGAGATTATCTGGCCCAACTTCCCTGATTCGGGAATGATTTGGCACACAGGTGTGAGAAAAGTACTGATATTTATTTTTTCTGTAGAGCTGACTGACACTACGAAATAACAATATTATGTTATAGAAATGTTGGCCAAATAAAAAGTTTACACAACTAAAAAGTAAGGAGCATCTTTTGTTTGAGTATAATAGGATGGGCGAAACCCTAAAGGTACAGTTTCTTTTTTGTAAAGTTAGGGTTATTTTGGCTTAAATGGAATGTATGGCTAAGTTAAATGTTTGACTACACATGGCAGTAATTATCATACTTGGTGCTAAAAGTAAAATTATCAGCCTAGAATTATGATGGAAACTCCAATGCCAATCACAGGAGAGCAATATCTTATAAAATCCTCAAAAATAAGTCACCTAGAAAAGGGAAACAAGTACAGTCAAATAAGTGTTCTTTTAAAAATACTCATAGATGGCTATGTGCCATGCACTCCTCTGAGAACTTTATACATATTATTCATTAAAATCTCATAAGAGACCTATGAAGGAGGCATTATTATTTTACAGATAAGAAAACTGAGGCACTGAAGTAAATTTCCCAAGGACACACACTACTGTGGTAGATGCAGGATTCAAACTCATTACCCAATTACTTTGCATTTGTGGGTCATGTTGTTCAATCAGCATCTTAAAATACCCAGCTTAACACATTGATCATACTATGAAGGGTAGGGAACCTGAGTGTAACTGGAGGTAAAGCAGATCCACATCTCCAGTCACACGCTTAATCTATATACACTTACTGAGCAAATGATAAACAGAAATCACCTACATGATTTACATTGTTCTCTTCCCTCCTCTCCTCTTTCTCTGCCATTGAATGAATACAGCTTGATTGACATATGTATATGCATGTAGCATTAAGCTTCATTCTAATAGTCAGGGTCCATCTTGGAGCAACAGCCAATCAGGAATAAGCTCCTGAGGTTGGGCAAAAATGAAATTTTCTTGACTCATCCTGAGGCAAAGCTTGCTTTAGCACTGCTGTTCCCGGAATGAGACTGTCTCTTTTCATCTATTCAACAATGATTTATTAGGTGCCTTTTACTTGACAGTCACTGTTTTAGACTGAAGTTGCTTTGTTGAACAAGATTGAACAAGCCCCCAGTCTCATAGAACACATCTTCTAGAGTTTAGACAAACAACAATCAAGCAAACAAGTAAAGGAGAGATATAATAAAAGACATGAAGGAAAATAAAGCAGGGTAGCCTGTTAGAACTTGGCAGGGCTGTGTTGTGTCTATGTTAGATGGCATGATCAAGAAAGTCCTCTCTGAGATAACAGTTGAGCAGAGACATAAATGAGGTAAAGGAGGAAGCCCTGTGAAAATCTGGGGGTTGAAGGCAGAGGAAACAGCAAATGCAAACACCCTATGGCAAGAGTCAGCTTGATATTTTTGAAGAACAGTGAGAACGGTAGTATGACGGGAGAGGAATGAGTAAAGAAGAAAGTGATAGCAGAAGAGACGAGAGCATTAGGCGAAAGTCCAATCACAAGGGCTGGGCTGTGGTTAGGAGTATGGATTTCATTCCAAGTGTGATGGGAAACTACTGGAGGGTTTTGATCAGAACAATGAGCACATTTCATTTATCTTTTAAAAGGACTGCTTTGGCTGCTGTGTAGAGAATGAAGTGTGTGGTGAAGGAATGGAAGCAGAGAAAATAATTAGGAAGTGATTACAGTAGATTGAGCAAATTGCTAGAGTAGGAGGTACTAAGAAAGGGTGGAGTTGGGGATATATTTATATCCATATCTAAATTTATAAATTAACTGACAGAAAGGGCTGATAGATTGGACACAGACGTGAGGGAGAGAAATACTGGACACTGAGGGTGGAGGCTGAATTATTTTGGGGGAAATGTGTCTTTGGGAAAATGATGAAAGAAAGTAGCATGGGAGCCATCTTAAGGTAAAATGAGACTAGAGCACAGTCCTTAGAGGGGGGAGCTTTCCTGATACAGGACAGGAGCCCCACAAGAGGGCACACTTCTCTCATCCAGTCAGAATCATGGACGCCTTCCATTACAGTCCCTTCATCCACTGAAAAGCCTTTCAGAGCATACCCATGGCCAGAGGAAGAAGATTCTCCCTTTCCTTTGCAGGTAGTAAGGAAAAATTTTTTAACCTGGGGGATGTGTGTATATAGAATCTATGATGTAGGTACACTGAAAATAAATACGTATGTACCTGTTATATTAAATATATGCCAATGTATATTATATTAATATACTCTCTGTTTGCATTGGAATATGATAGTATTTGTCTGGTTGTAGGCACTTTACTCTGGTTTAGAGTTCAGTATTGGTGTGTCCATTATTCTTCCTCAGCATTCCATGATGTTTTCTCAAGCCCAAAACCAAGGTCTTCCCCTCCCTGGCTGAGGCTGTTAGATGCAGAAAATAACACCTGAACAGCAACCTTTGAAACCAAAGGCTTTTAGAGCAGGAAGGAAGAGCTGGTCCAACCCTTCTTTTACTTTAAAGCAGAGGAAACTGAGCCTGGAGAATTTGAAAGACTCCCAGAAGTTCTAACAGCTGTCTTCTATACACAATAGACCTAACCTTTTCAGGATTACACTTCATGTGAGGCTAATATATTTTTAAACTCCCAGATTCTCATTTAATACAGAGGCACCCTGTTTTGGGATTCTTTTATATTAGTTAAAGGAGAAGAAGCTAGGCAGAAAAAGGAAGACAATATTTTTAATGCATTATCATCACCCTAGTGAAATTTTCTCAAGAAAGAGTGGTCTTAGGGAAGTGGCTGTAATGGGAAACCTAGAAGTCAAATCCATATTTTAAAAAGCTATATTATGACAAAAGCCTATGCATCACTTCCATTTCATTCAGTTCTCTCTAATTAGACTGAAGGCTAAATTTGAATTTGAATTGTATGACAGATGTAATAAAACTCATAAAAGAAGACCTTTGGAGGCTACCTTTTCCAAATCCTATTGTTCATAAATTTTATTCTGGTGATAAACAGAGCCTAGTCATATTAATACTACTAATAATTATTGTGTCCTTCATATGCTTCAGACTATGTTAAGGGCATGATTTACACTATCTCATTATCCTTAATCCTAACACTAACCCATGCTATCGGTACAATTACATTTTAGAATTGGTGAAATTGAGGCAGGAACAAGGCATCAAGAGGTTGAGCAATTTGCCGCAGTTCACAGAGGTGAGCAATGGCAGAACCAATATTTGAGCACTTACTTCAAGTACTTAATACCCTGGTTTTTTGTTTGCTTTATTTTATTTTATTTCTTATTCTCAGGGAAGCCCGGTGACCTTTAGGAGAGGACTCTGCTAAGGTTTGTTCAGAGTTTCAGCTGGTGAATAAGGTGGAACCAGAGGGCCCTTTCACCCACTTCATTCCTCATGGGAGAGATTTGCCACAAGAAGCCTAGTTAGGCCCACACATGAAAAAGGACCTTTTTTTTTTTTTTTTTTTTTTTTTAAAGATCATTTTCCTTTCAGTTGTGATTTTTTTCTTTTAGGAAGTCGCCTGTGGTTTTCCAAATTGTCACAAAACATTTGCGCAACGACCTGGGGTGTTATGACACTCTTAGATAAAAATCCGAGGACAACTTGGATGAAGGACAATTTTTAAGTAGGAACACACTCTTCCTTTGCTTTGGTTAAACAAATGGAATGGAAAAGATTTGTTCAGATCGGAGCATCCAATAGACGCAAGCTCTTCGGAACTGCACCGACTCCTTGGCAAACACAGTTGCTTAGCGAGACTTCAAAACTCCTGAGCGCAAACAAATGGAGGAGGGGCGCACAGGCCCGCCCAGCGCAGACTTCTCCAGACTAGCCCCAGGTTTTGCAGAAAGCCCGGAGGGCGCTTGTAGCTCTTCCTTCTCTGGGTTAAAGAATGAAGTGGGAGAGGGGGAGAGATGGAGGGTCGATAGCTCTGGAGGACTCCTCTCAACTACCCCGCAAGGGTGGAAGGGCAGGCCCCGGGAGAGGGGTTCCACCGGAGGAGACATCAGAGTCTTAGCGCAGGAAAGGAGGACGAGAAAGAGAGGGGAACCCCGCTGCTGTCCTGTCCACTAATAGCGCGTCCCCTCCCCCCTCCCCCCAGGAAATGTCCCCGCCGGCCCCTCCTTTCGCCATCACCTCCTGGGGACTAAGGCTGTAAAATCCTACGCAGTACAGAGGCCGGTGGCGGGGTGAAGCGAGGCACTGCGGCCTGCTGGTACTGCCCAGTACCCTCCAGCCCCCGACTGCTGACCATCCAGCCCACCCCCAGCCTTCCTCCTCGATTCCCAGACCCCCCAGGGCAGCCACCCTACCCCACACGTCCCCTGGCAGACCCAACAACGGCCGGGGGCGGGGCGCCTCTAGCATCTGGAGCCCGGCTGCGTGAGGGAGGAACCTCAGCCCGGGAGCCCCGCCTCCATGCTTTCAACTGCCCGCCCCTTGAACATCTGGGTGCAGGGGTTACCGCTCCAGATGTGGCTCCTGGGCGTCCAGATGTGCGCGTTGTTACGCCCGGGGCCGATGGCCCAGGAGTCTGGGCGAACCCGTGGGAGGGGCTGGGAATTTTTCCTCCAAACTCACTTAAAAGCCAGCAGAACGTCAAGTCCCCTGGGTTCCCGGCTTGGGCCTCCTAGTCTCCCGCACGCAGCGCCTGATGGAATAAGCTTCCAGCTCAGCCTGTGCTCTGATGCTGAGCAAGCTGACCTTGGAGCTTTGGAAATAGGACAGCTTTACAGAGTTCCTCAAAGATAAGCCTCATAGTTTGAATAGACGACCCTCGTGCTGATGATGTGGGATTCCAGCTGTGCAGCCAGCAAACCCCAAATCGGTTGGTGGACAGAGTTGCTGTAGGGATTGCATCTGAGGCTGGCCCTAAAGCGCTTTTTGACAGGGTATGGATTCCATGTTTGAAGTTGGGGGTCGTATTCCACCTGGTACGAGCAGTTCTGGGCGGGAGAAAAGCCCAGTGAACCCTGTGACTCAATCCCCTTGGAATGTGCCTGGAGTAATAATGGGGACTTGAAAGGTTTTTATGGACGAGGTAGCTGGTGGAGAAGAGGCTGTATAGGCGGTCGGTCGAGGGGGGCAGCATTGCCTTATGCAGCAGTGCTGCGCCTGCAAACAGGACAAAAAATAGTCGGAGCGTCTGGTTTAAATCAACCAGAAAGCATTTCTATAGGCTTAATCCGCCTTACCGCAGAATCGACAGAACAGTACTAGCCAAATATATTCTGGGTTTTAACACTCCAGTAATAGCTAGACCGAATCACGTTCTACCGCTGGGATTTCTGTCCTAACGTACAACTGTCGTTATAGATGTTGCAAATTTAACTTCCTTTTCTGAGCTTGTGTGTGTGGGCATGTGCCTAAGCACTTATATTCGCAAGCAACTCTATAACTACGTTGCCCTTTTCTTTTCCTTTTTGTATGCGACCTTAGAATAGAGAAAAGTATCTGAGGCTAACATATGGGTTGCTTACAGCACTAAATATATAGCTGCATTTCCCTTCCTTAACGCCCTACTCAGAATTCCAAAGGCAAGTTGGAACAAAAGGAAAACGTGTCTAAGTGCAAAGAGAACCAGTGCCAAGAATTACAGTCACAGGGTAAATAACCTTGTTTTCTCCTTCATCAGTGGCCGCCACTAAACCCCCGTTCTTGGACGGTGGCCAACAGTCTGTCTGGTGGAGGGTGCTGCTAATTAGAGAGAGCCCATAAACCTCTCTGTCAAAGAGGGCATGTGACCTTCCCTTCAAGTCTAAACAATAAAGCTGGCGATCTGCAGACTGCACTCAACACTGGCTGCCCTGCGGATTCCCTAAATAGGAACAGGATGAAGGCCAGGCTTAAGAGGTTACCATAGCTCTGCTCTCACACTTTGAGGAATCGGTCACTCCACTTCCCCGTATAACTTGTTTCAATTACTCTCTACAGTCTTTTTAGAGGAGAGTAGCTTGCAGAGAGAACTCATTGTCTAATCTAAATGAGGAAGCAATTATCACTTGCTGCAGTCCTATGAGCTTTGAGACTGTCGGGTCAAAGATCAACCTGATCTCATGTAACCTAACTTTGCACTTTGGAAGATATACCCTTTTAATGACAATTACTTAGCCCTGCTTTTCTGAAACCTTGTTTTCTATTAAGGATCCCCCTCTCCCCACTTCAGTATCCTTTCTAATTTTAGAATTTAAGTAATCCTAAAGTAAAATCACAACTACTTCTGCATATTACTTAATGCTAAATATTAAAAAAATTGTGGTGCTTATAGGCATCATCTCAGAATAGAACACAATAGAATTCTGTCTTCCCTCCTTTGTCTAATCTACTTCCCTGGGAGCTCCCTTGCTCGCTTAAATTTTGTACAACATGTTGTAAACTATAAATATACAGCTCTACTTTCCTAGAACATAGCATATGGAAACTGTCGCCTGCTATATATCCTAACTGTATTTGCTTTCAACTTAAAGACTGAATAAAGTTAATCTCCTGTGTAAAGAGGCATTTGGCCTTCTGTACTTTGTGTTTTATTAGCTGAAACAGTATGGAAAAACATGCAGAATTCTTGGTGTTGCGAACAGAGCATATAAAAGAGTTTACAAGGTGTGGTTTGAAGAGAGGAAGGCACGGAGCAAACGCTGAAGGCAAAGAAGGAAGGAAGGAAGGAAGGAAGGAAGGAAGGAAAGCACTTTCTGAGAGGATCCACCTCCCATCAAGCTACATCCTCTTGTCCAAATCTTCCTGTTGTCTTGGCCAGTGATTGATGGTAAAAGATTTGTCTTTATTTTTCCTATTCAATTTAAATCCATCCTCTCACATACTGAAGCTACTCAAAGAGCCAAATCTACTGACATAAAGACTCGATTCCATTTAATTTTCAGATAAATAAACTGAAATGATTGTATAATACACACAGGGCAACAATCATTGGTTAGCTTCTGTGAATTCCTGGATAACAAGTGTAACATAATTAACAAGAGTCTGAAGTCACCAACAATATGTTGGTGATGACTTAGCCTCCTTTCTCAGTTTGCAAAGTAGGGCTGATACCTCTTTCCAAAGATTAAAACTGATGTACAAGTGTTACACAACCAATACAAGGGACATCACAAGCCTCATAAGGTATGTTCTCCTTTTTAAAACAAACAAAAAAACATGTGTTGCAACATTTTCTTTGTAAAAGAAATTAATAAAAATCTAAGGCATATAATTCCTATGTAGTAAATTAATCAAATGACTTTATATTTTCAGGTAAAGTTTCTTTTGGAATTTGATCTTAAGGATATTGTGCATAACTTTATGTGTTAACTTGGTTAGGTCATGATACATTTGGCCAAACACTAGTCTAGATGATGCTGTGAAAGTATTTTCTTTTTTAAGTTAAATTAACATTAAGATCAGTAGACTCTGAGTGAATGAGATTACTCTTCACAATGTGAATCGGGTCTTGTCCAATCAGGCAAAGAAGGAATTCTGTCAGTAGAATGCCTTTGGGCTTATAACATCAACTCTTCTCTAGCCTACTGACCTACCCTGCTGGTTTTGGGCTTTTTCGCTTCCATATTCACATAAGCAGATTTCTTAAATCTCTCTCTCTGCAGGTTATTGTTCTGATTCAATGGAGAAGCCTTGACAACCAAGATATCTACTGTTGTCTCTTGGCATAATCATGATCTACTCTAGCTCTCAAATTAATTAATTAGTATTTTTTCTCAGATACTGGAGATTGAACTGGTGGTACTCTAACACAGACCTACATTCCCAGTCCTTTTCATTTTGAGACAGGGTCTTACTAAGTTTTCCAGGCTGGCCTCAAACTTGTAATCCTCCTGCCTCAGCCTCATAGAGTAGCTGGGACTACAGGCCTATGCTACTATGCCTGGTTCCAGTTCTCAAAGGTAGAGCAATTTAAATAGGCCTGGCATAAATGAGGGAGAAGTCCCCACTTATAACCCAACTGTTTTCCCAATACTTTGAGAGAGCATTCAGCCAGATACTCTAACAGAGTTTTATCAGCCCCTCTCCTTACTCATTCTTTTTTCTTTCTGAATCTCAGCAATTGTAAGAAAAACTTCTGTTCCATAGCATTTGCTTCTGTTCTCCACCCCCCTTCTCTCTCTCTTTTTTTTTAAAAAAAAGAGAGAGTGAGAGAGGAGAGAGAGAGAGAGAGAGAGAGAGAGAGAGAGAGAGAGAGAGAATTTTTAATATTTATTTTTTAGTTCT